TAAAAAAAAAAAAAGAGAGATACCTGGAATAACAGACAAGTTTGGTCCTGGAGTACAAAATGAAGCAGGGCAAAGGCTAACAGAGTTTAGCCAAGAGAACACACTGATCATAGCAAACACCCTCTTCCAACAACATAAGAAACAACTCCACTCACGGACATCACCAGACACTCAATACTGAAGTCAGATTGATTATATTCTTTGCAGCTGAAGATGACACTCTAGACAGTCAGCAAAAACAAGACTGGGAGCTGACTGTGGTTCAGATCATGAACTCCTTATTGCAAAATTCAGACTGAAATTGAAGAAGTAGGGAAAACCACTAGACTATTCAGGCATGACTTAAATCAAATCCCTTTTGATTATACAGTGGAAGTAACAAATAGATTCAAGGGATTAGATCTGATACAGACTGCCTGAAGAACTATGGACAGAGGTTCATGACATTATACAGGAGGCATTGATCAAGACCATCCCCAAGGAAAAGAAATGCTAAAAGGCAAAATGGTTGTCTAAGGAGGGCTTACAAAGAGCTGAGAAAAGAAGAGAAGCAAAAGGCAAAGGAGAAAAGGAAAGACATACCCAACTAAATGCAGAGTTCCAAAGAATTGAAAGGAGAGATAAGAAAGCCTTCCTCAGTGATCAATGCAAAGAAATAGAGGAAAACAATAGAGTGGGAAAGACTAGAGATCTCTTCAAGAAAATTAGAGATACCAAGGAAACATTTCATGCAAAGATGGGCACGATAAAGGACAGAAATGGTATGGACCTAACAGAAGCAGAAGATATTAAGAAGAGGTGGCAAGAATACACAAAAGAACTGTACAAAAAAGATCTTCATGACCCAGATAACGACGATGGTGTGATCACTCACCTAGAGCCAGACATCCTGAAATGCAAAGTCAAGTGGGCCTTAGGGAGGATCACTATGAACAAAGCTAGTGGAGGTGATGGAATTCCAGTTGAGCTATTTCAAATCCTAAAAGATGATGCTGTGAAAGTGCTGCACTCAATATTCCAGTAAATTTGGAAAATTCAGCAGTGGCCACAGGACTGGAAAAGGTCAGTTTTCATTCCAATCCCAAAGAAAGGCAATGTCAAAGAATGTTCAAACTACTGCACAATTGCTTTCATCTCACACACTAGCAAAGTAATGCTCAAAATTCTCCAAGCCTGGCTTCAAAGTACATGTATCAAGAACTTCCAGATGTTCAAGCTGGATTTAGAAAAGGCAGAGAAACCAGAGATCAAATTGCCAACATCCACTGGATCATAGAAAAAGGGCAAGAGAGTTCCAGAAGAACATCTATTTCTGCTTTATTGACTATGCCAAAGCCTTTGACTGTGTGGATCACAACAAACTGTGGAATATTCTTAAAGAGATGGGAATACCAGACCACCAGACCTGCCTCCTGAGAAATCTGTTTGCAGGTCAAGAAGCAACAGTTAGAACCAGACATGGAACAATGGACTGGTTCCAAACTGGGAAAGGAGTACGTCAAGGCTGTATATCATCATCCTGCTTATTTAACTTATATGCAGTGTACATCATGCAAAGTGCCAGGCTGGATGAAGCACAAGCTGAAATCAAGATTGCCAGGAAAAATATCATTAACCTCAGATATGCAGATGATACCATCTTTATGGCAGAAAGCAAAGAGAAACTGAAAAGCCTCTATTATGAAAGTGAAAGAGGAGAGTGAAAAAGCTGGATTAAAACTCAACATTCACAAAACTAACATCACAGCATCCACTCCCATCACTTCATGGCAAATAGATGGGGAAATAATGGAAACAGTGAGACTTTATTTTCTTGGGCTCCAAAATCACTGCAGATGGTGACTGAAGCCATGAAATTAAATACTTCTTCCATTTCCTTGGAAGAAAAGCTATGACCAACCTAGACAGCATATTAAAAAACAGAGACATTACTTTGCCCACAGAATCAAAGCTATGGTTTTTCCAGTAGTCATGTATGGATATGAGAGTTGGGCCATAAAGAAAGCTGAGTGCCGAACAATTGATGCTTTTGAACTGTCGTGTTGGAGGAGACTCTTGAGAGTCCCTTGGACTGCAAGGAGATCAAACCAAACTGATTTCAAAAGGAAATCAGTACTGAATATTCATTGGAAGGACTGATGCTGCAGCTGAAGTTCCAGTACTTTGGCCACCTGATGTGAAAAACTGACTTGTTGGAAAAGACCCTGATGCTGGGAAAGATTGAAGACAGGAGGAGAAGGGGACAACAGAGGATGAGATGTTTGGATGGCATCCCTGACTTGATGGACATGAGTTTGAGCAAGCTCCGGAGTTGGTGATAGACAAGGGAAGCCTGGCATGCAGCTGTCCATGGGGTCGCGAAGAGTCAGAACTGACTGAGCAACTGAACTGAACTGATGCAATAAAAAATTTTTTTTTAAATCTGAGAGTTGAAAAGCATTGCTCTAGAGTAGCAGGAACCACAATATCACCTGGGAACTTGTTAGCAATGCAAATTTATTGAATTTCTCTTATTTTAGGCATTGTGCTAGGTCACATTCTCTGAACAAATCATGCTTAAGCTAGTCTGATGGGTGAGTAGACATTAGCCAGGTAAATAACTCCAGAGCACATGTTCTATACATTTTACTATGTTACCTTCATTTATTTCTGAAATCATTCATCCAACAAACATTCAGAGTGCATACTACCTGTCAGGACTTACCTTTTGTTGAGCAAATTGAGATAAACATGATCGTTGGAGCTGGTGAATTTGTAGTCCAAGGAAGGATTTCAACTTTTATAGGGATTTAAGTCTATGTCTTGAGGGTCTCTTAATTTCTGCTTTCTATTCTTCAATTTGTAACCCAGTACTAGACAGTTTTGACAACTGTTGCACTTCACAATTTTTCAAGTTAGATAGAGCTCTCTACCCAAAAGTAATGTCACTTTATGTCTCTCTAGCTCTAGTTTTCTTTATTTTTCCTCCCAGTTAGGTTGCCCTCCGTGATTCGAAAACTTCCCCCAGACCCGCCAGTGCGAGGGTTTCCTGGTGTTTGGAAACTTCCTCTATTAAGACTCCCTTCCCGGGACGGGTTTCCGTCCCTAGCTCTTTTGTCTCTTTTTATCTTTTATATTTTGTCTTACCTCCTTTCTAAGATGATGGGCTGCTTTTCTGGGCACCTGATGTCCTCAGCTAGCGATCAGAAGTTGTTTTGTGAAGTTTGCTCAGCCTTCAATTGTTCTTTCGATGAATTTGTAAGGGAGAAAGTGGTCTCCTCGTCCTATTCCTCTGCCATCTTGGCTCCTCTCATCTAGCTCTAGTTTTCTAAACATTTTACTAGAGCAGTCAGCAACTGTTGACATGGTTGACGGTCCCTTTCATAAAAAGTTACTTTCTTCTCTTGGCTTTAACATTCTGGGTTTACCTCCTACTTCTCTGATCATTCCTTCTCCATCTCTTTATGACATTTCCTCCTCTACCTAATTTTTTTTTCATCGTCAGAGAAGTTCATTATTTTACTCACACACCCTTGATTCTCATGCCACCTCCCACCAAGGCAGAGGTTGGGGCAACAAGGAGGTGACAGGTCCTTGCCCTGACAGCCTTTGTCAGAGTCCACTCCCAATAGACCTGAACCCCTGGAAGCTGGGTTCAGTGCTTGGAGACAGAGCCACTGTCTGGCTTAGCAACCTGTTCACGATGCTGATTTTAACATTCTGCTTCTCAGTGTCCTCATACAGAGTGCAGGACAGGTCATGCTGTGACTTGTAGGCACCAAAGAGGTCATGTGGATGACTCGTTCCCCACTCCTCTGGAGAAAGGATGGAAAAATGTTTAACAAATATGTCTTTAATGAGCTTTTCTCCCTTCTTATTCAGCTTGACTTTCACAGTCATTCACATTTACTTGCTCACAGATACCGTTCACTCTTCTGTTCCTCTCTTTTTGGTATACTCATTTGGCAAAATCAAAACCATGATTAAATCCATCCTGTGCCTCTGCCTTGTACGTACTGTTTCAGCTGAACAAAGCTGGAGAAAATATGTGACCATGAGGTAAAGTCATAACCATAAATTTCAAGTGGGCCTTACTGTTTCCCAACAATCACACTGTATGTCCCTAGTTCATTCATTCTCCCCTCTTCTAGAGGATGATTTCATAACTTCCTACCAAACCCCAAATTCTCCCCCATCCTCATGTTTTCTGTTTCACAGAATCCATCATCACATCTTCTCACCTGCCAGCATCCGCACTCACATATTTTCTTTTTCTTTCTGTTATCACAGATGAATTATCCATGTTCCTGTCTAAAGCCAATCCCTCCACTTGTACAAGAATTCCATTTTCTGCCATTTATTCAAGAATAGCACTCCCGAAAGGCTACCCACTCCCTCCTATGTTATAAATTTCCCTCTCTTTCCTGGATCACTCCAACAGATACTTAAAGTTTCTCTTCTCCTCACTTTTGACACCAGCTACTCTTAATAATTTTTGCTCTCTATGTAGCTAAATGTCTAAGAATATTTGTCTATATACACTCTCTCCAGTCCCTCTCCTCTGTCTTAATTGTAAGTCTTTTTTTTGACCTGGTTACAGGCACATGGGATCTTAGTTCCCCTACCAGGAATGGAACCCACTCACCCCTGCATGGGATCACAGAGTCTTAACCACTGGACCACCAGAGAAGTCCCTAAGTCTTTTTACTACAAAATTATAAAAACATACACAAAAATTGAGAGAATAATATAATGAATCTCTGTGTAGGCAATCAAAATATTCTATAGATATGAACATTTGCCATATTTATTTGCTTCATCTTATCTCTTTTTTCTCTTTGTTGTTGTAGTATTTCAGAGCAAATCCCTGGTAGTATGTTATTTCAACTCTAAATACTCCAAAGTGTTACTTAAAAAGATAGAAAAATCTTTTAGCCACACTATCATTATCACTTCTTTTTTTTTTTTTTTTTCAGAAGAGAAAAGCACTTAACATTTAATGAATTTCCCAGCATGTGGCTTCAAGCCACCAGGACACAAGCCCCACCTACACCCTTAATCTTCTCCTCAGCTCTTCTGCTGAAGAATTTTGCCTTCACGATGACAGGCTGCTTTGGGAGCTTTCCTTTCCCCAGAACTTTGTAGTAACCTGATCGCACCACATCAATGATAGGAGCAGCTCCTGTCTTGTTCTTCACAGCATTTACTCGTGTCTGCTCACTAACCAAGGTCCACAATTTATCAAGGTTGACAGTCGGGCAGAAACTCTGGTTCCTCTTTAAGTGGTAATGCCTCATACCAACTTTCCCGAAGTATCCTGGGTGATATTTGTCGAAGTTGATCCTGTGATGATGCATACCGCCAGCATTACCTCGGCCTCCCGGGTGCTTCCGGTGTTTGCCGATGCGGCCGTGGCCGTGGCTCACGTGGCCCCTAAGTTTCCGCGTCTTCCTTAGTCTGGATGGCATGTCGGCGGCCTAGACAAAAGAGCATCATTATCACTTCTTACAAAATAAACAATATTCCTTAGACTTATCTGATATCTGAGCTACATCCAAACTGTTCAAATTGTCTCCAGAATGTGTTTATATAGTCAGTTTGTCCATTGCCTCTTAAATAATACATTCCAATTAAGCCTCCTCCTACCACCACTCCACCAAAACTTCACTGGTCCATATCATCCATATTTACCATGTCATTACCATATTGTTACCAATATTTACCATTGATCAATTCTCATCTTATTTGATATTTCAGTTGCATATTATATATCTGCTTACTTCCTACTTCTTCTATTTTTTTTTTGTTTGTTTTTTATTAGTTGGAGGCTAATTACTTTACAATATTGTAGTGGGTTTTGTCATACATTGACATGAATCAGCCATGGATTTACATGTGTTCCCCATCCCGATCCCCCCTCCCGACTTCTTCTATTTTTAGAGAAAATCATATAATGAAATCCCACATACTGCTACCACCCGGTTTGTATAATTATCAACATTTTACTATTCTTGTTTTGTTTTTGCTCCACACCTTTTTCTTTTTCCTGGAGAATTTAAAGGCAATCCCAGACAGCATGTAATTTCAATGCATATTTCTACAGGTAAGGACTTTAAAAACAGAGCTTTAGTCACATTATCATGCCTAACAAAATTAATTATAATTTCTTTTTTATTTTTTTTAATTTTAAAATAATTTTTATTTATTTATTTACTTATTTTAACTGTGTTGGGTCTTCATTGCTGTGCGTGGGCCCTCTAGTTGCGGCGAGTAGGGGTTACTCTTCACTGTGGTGTGTGGGTTTCTTACTGCAGTGGCTTCTTTTCTTTCAGAGCACAAACTCGAGACCTGCAGACTTCAGTAGTTGCAGCAGGAGGGTTCAGTAGTGTGGTTAACTGGCTCTGGAGCACAGGCTCAGTAGTTGTGGCTCATGGGTTTAGTTGCTCCTTGGCATGTGAAATCCTCCCTGACCAGGGATCAAACCTGTGTCTTCTGCTTTGGCAGGCAGATTCTTAACCACTGGACCACCAGCAAAGTCTCCTAATAATACATAATTTTTAAAAAACAAAACCCTTTTATTTACATATAGAATCATATTGATATATTAAACTAGAATTGAGGAAGCCACAGTCCAGAATATGAACAGAAAAGGCTGAAATGGAGGTGAAAATAGACTTTCTAAGAGAGGAAATTTCTAAATTGCAGTAACCAGGAGCAGAAAGCATCTGAGAAAGGAAGCAAAGATCAAAATATTAATTGAAACACTATCTGAGAACAGCTGCACTATTTAGCATCCTTCTCTCTCTCCATAAGCACCCACTAGCTTCCCTTTTACTTCAGAATACATCCTGAGAATAAAAGAAGAATCTGCCTTGGAGAGTTCATGCTCTAGACTCTTTATTTTGGTATTTGGGTGGGGGAAGTCTTGATAGCTAACACCTACTCATTTTAATTATATTTTTTCCTCAGAAAACAAGCTCAAATGTAAAACTACTTATCAGCTACACTTATACATATGTCATAAATCAGAAATTTTTAAAGTTCTCTTCTTACTCTTATTGAAAAAATATATATAACTTAGTACAAATGTGTATTCCAGCAAAAAAGCAAAAAGAAATAAAGGGATACTCCCAAAAAGATGAGGATGCGGGAAGAAACAAATGACTAACATAAAAGTACAATGAAAATAAACATTAAGATTCAGTTATACAGTAGGCCTAAAATGCAATTGTTCAAAATATTAATAGAATGAGAAGTCAAAAGTTAAAATGGAATGAGTTCTGTTCAAATTGTTGCAGGAAGGGGGACCCCTCCCAGAGCCCGAAACTGGGCTGTTGTCTAACACTCGGAAATGAATTGTCCGAGGAGATGCATGTGCTGACAAAGCAAGAGATTTTATTGGGAAAGGGCGCCCAGGCAGAGAGCAGTAGGGTAACAGAACCCAGGAGAACAGCTCTGCCACATGGCTCAGCAGTCTCAGGTTTTATGGTGATGGGATTCGTTTCCGGGTTGTCTTTAGCCAATCATTCTGAGTCAGAGTCCTTCCAAGTGGTGCACATCTTGTTCAGCCAAGATGGATGCCAGAGAGAAGGATTCTGGGTCGTGGTCGGACAGGTGGTGTCTTCTTTTGACCTTTCCTGAACTCTTCCGGTTCGTGGTGGCTTATTAGTTCCGTGTTCCTTACCAGGACCTCCTGCCCTAAAACAACTCATGCAAATGGTTACTATGGTGCCTAACCAGGGTGGGCAGTTTCAGTCAGTGTGCTTCCCCTAACAAAATGATTACATGGTCATGAAGATGAAAAATTCCATTGATATTGTAAAGAAACTTCCCTGAAGTAACAGGGAAGCTAGTGTCTTAATTCAACAAGAAAAAAGAAAGGCTATTAGAATCTCCAGAAGAACATAAAGCTATGTTCCAAAGATGAAGCAATTACAAATATGGCCTATATTGCAGCAGTTAATGGCAAGCTTCCCTGATAGCTCAGCTGGTAAAGAACCTGCCTGCAATGCAGGAGACCAAGTTTCAATTCCTGAGTTGGGAAGATCCCCTGAAGAAGGGATAGGCTACCCACTCCAGTATTCTTGGGCTTCCCTGGTGGCTCAGCTGGTAATAAATCTGCCTGCAATGTGGGAGTCCCGGGTTGGATCCCTGGGTTGGGAAGATCCCCTGGAGAAGGGAATGGCTACCCACTCCAGTATTCTGGTCTGGAGAATTCCATGGACTTGCAGTGAATAATTGAGTGAATGATATGAAAATCTACTTGGCCTTGATGCTTCTGTTTTGTTGTTGTCGTTGCTGTTGTTGTTGTTATTAAAGTCTTATCCTTTGAAAGTTAGATTTTTAAAAAAATCCTAACAGACTTACAAACATCTTTGTAAATTTCAGCCACTAGTAACTGCTAGTCTCAAATTCATTTGTTGCCTTACTGTACTTTGTTCTGTCTTGCAGAGGATTGGCTTATGCAAATTATCTTTCTAAAACTTCCTAGTCTTCTTTTTTTGTTAGTGGAAGGGATGTTTGCTTCAGGCAGTATCTCCAACACTGACCGTGTCTTTTCCATGGTCACATCTCATCAGAGTCCCTTCCTTCCTATCTCATCTTCTAGAGGGTCCTTACCTCTGTGGTTTCTGCTCCCACTGAGTGGTATTAGCTCATGGGTTCTGTCAATCTCCTCTTCTGATCCTTCAGCCCTAGAAATGGTAGAGTTTTCCTGCTGTTGCTAATTTCTGAGCTGCTTACCCATCCTCTGTTTCACTTCAGACCCTTTTGTAACCAGCTACCTATATTAAATTCCTTCTGTTTAGCTGCTGGCATGGACTCTGTTTCTCTGACAGGACCCTGACAGATACAATTAATATCAGTAATGTGTATAAAGCATGAGAATTAATGCCACTGAATCACATATCAAAGAACAGGAAAGGAGAACACTGAGGCTAGAAAGTTCCTGGAGTAGTAAATCAGATAGGCAATGGAATAGCCAGGCTCAGAGACATGTTTTGGAAAGGCTGGCTACATTAGCATTATCATGTCAAGCAAAGTGGAAATTAGTGACAGGGAGACTAGTGGGGACCCTAAACAGTAAATCTAGGAGTGAGACAATGAGCATTGAATTAGTTAAAACTTATCTGGTTGCATGTGATCAAAACCTATGTCAACCAGATAAGCAAAAGTTACATGGGACACACTGCTAGTTACCTATCCAACATTTATTCCTCTATCTTCCATACTAAAAGAATCCCAGTTTTGTATGGGGCTGCATTGTACACAGAGGTAGCTAAAAGTTCTTACCTTTCTAGAGTGCAAGTGGGGATAATATGTACTCAGAGGTGGCCATATGACCCAGTTCTGGCCAATGAGAGAATAAAAGAAAGCTTTAGAGATCAGCTTCCAGAGGTATGCTTATTCCTTTAGCCTTTGTCCTTTGTCTTTCCTTTTCTTTGTGATAAAAAAGCAGACTCTGCTTGGGAGGTACAGTCACTATCTCACTTCACACTAAGGATAATGGAATAGGAAGACAAAGAAGCCCAGTTTTTTATGATATTTTGTAACCTGGAACAGCTGCTCTTATCCTGGATTGCCTATCTCCATGAACCTTTTTAAGGGAGGAAATTAAATTTGTATATAGTTAAGTCATGTTAATTGCTTGCAATTGCATATACATTCCTAGCTGATAAAGAGAATGTATTGCAAGAGTCTTAAAGTAACTCAGGTTATCAAACTTAACTAGAGTTCAACAAATTGCTCTTGAAAGAGATTGTAGTATGTAGTATCATAGATCCTCCTTCTTTATCTCATTACTCTTCTCTGTATTGAATTAATATTCTTTTCTTGCTCTGATCTGGCTTTCTCTATTCCCCAATTCATGTGACAGAAAAGATGGCCAACAATATTAAATATCTACAGTCACTGAAGAGAGATTAACATCAATCTCTTGGTCCTAAATATAAAAAGATAAGAAGAAACTCATTGGCCCAGTTTGGGCTGGATGGCTGCCCCTAGACAAATCAACCACAAACAGTAAGCAAGTTCAAATATAAACATGCAATCTCCAGCAGGAACTGTGCAGATAGAATTGGAAGAGAGGCAATCCCCACAAGAAAGGAGATGTCTGACAGATGAAACAAGAGATGTTTACTACAAAGAGTGAATTAGGGTGATGGTACCAGAGTTAGAGATAAGAGAGATTCAAGGAATAATCAGAGGGCTGACCATCTTAAGGACTGGGATGATGAAAGAAAGGGAGAAGTTGAGAATGACTTCAAAGTTTCTTGCTTCTAATAAAAAAGAAAAAAGAATAGGAAAGAAGAATTCGTGGTTGACTGGAATTGAGTTATCATAAAGAGTAACTTTGGCCTGAATGATCTTGATTCTTCTCTGCACACTTTGTCACATAGTTTTAAACAACATATTCTTAGTTTCACACAGATTCCATGGAAATTATATGAAAATCACAATGTTTCCAATG